ATTTGATTAATGCTAGAACTATAGATCCATTCAAAAATGTTTCTGTTTTTCTTGGGGGGGGAGGGGGGGGTTCCTACAAAAAGACATGATGTCACCTTTGTAAGTGATGGTCTCGTTATGGCCCTTAACCTAAGTTCAAGTTGTCTCTATAGATGACTTAAGTTTTGACTCATCTTTCTTAGATCAATCCCTTCAAGATGGAGGTAAGGCAACGTTCTGACCGCTGAATGATGGTTTAACTTAACAAAACTATGTATCAAAGCACTAGTACAAGTGCATACATGGACAACAATGTGTGGAAATGATTGTACTTGCATGAGTGTTGTACTGAAACGACGTTGCTGTAAGACAACCTCCCACTTTGCTGTGCCCGTATATTGGAATTCCTCCTTCCCGAAACACATGCATTGATTATTTTACTTCTCATACGGTTTGAGGTTCAAATGGTAAATGCCTGAAGTTTTCCATGACTTGATTGATACATGCATATACTTTATAAGTATATGATGTGTGCTGTTTAACCTTAGTACCAACTATTACTACTACTTCACTGTTTATATCATGAACGGTATAAAAATGGGACCTTATCCACCTTTCAACTGTGTATTGACAGGATGGTTATAACGTTATATCACCAATTACTCATTTCCAGGCAAAAGTACTTTGGCTTTGCCTATCCAAAAGTTTTTTTTTTTTTCCAGTCTAATGTAATGGTTCACAACTGGTCTAGCTTTTTTAAAATGTATTAAATGTAAAGGTGACACAGTTTGCTTCAAGCACAATGAAGTAAAAAAAACCTTGTGTGATTGTTGGGTAAATTTTGTTTCTCAGCAATTTTTAGTCTTGGCCAGCGACTACAAAAAAACGAGTCGAGAATGACGGCTGTATTGGATGAACAAAGGCCTAATATTGTTCTGAAAATCATACAGAAAGTTCTTCTCGCAATTTGCCAATGATGTGTGGCAAGTTCTACTTTTGATGCAGTAGATGCTATAAAGTAGAGGATAGTAAAATAATTCATAATTTCATCTACTAGTTTATGTAGAAGAAGAAAAAAAAACACACACCTTAATACTTTTGTCCACTCTTTTGTGTCCCGGCATGGCATTTCTGTTTGTTCCATGTTGAGTGTAATAACCTCTGGTCGCTACTGCAGCGTTGTGTCTCAGCATTTCTCATTCAGCTGCTATTTGTTTTTAGCCTTTTTTTGTTTTTGCTTCCTTGTCTGCAACAGAGTCAGAGGCTGATGGGGATGGTAAGAAAGACGTATTGACACGTCTGTTTGCATGGCATTTTTCTTTTTTTCTACACCACTACCAAGTGTAATACAGTCTCCTGCTTGAACCGTTGTCCACATCAACACTACGTATTTGATTATAAAAATTAGAGCAACTTGTTTTTGTGGCCCTTAACGTAAGAAATCAATGCGGGCTTATTGATCAGTTTTAGTTTAATAATTAAAAGAATAGAGAAACTAGTTGAAGGAGTAACGCTGTTTTCAAATCCTAGGTGTTTTACAACTTTAGCGAACAATCGCCTGAACCTTTTCATTGCAATTCCACGTGTAAAAATTACAAAAAAAAACTGCAAATAACATTACTATGTTGAAATCTATTGTTAATAGAAAATAGAAGACATTTAAAAAGGGAGAATTGATTGAACGTTGCATGTGACTAAAAGCTAGAGTCACATGCTTTCACCTCTTATCCAAGAGGCTTCTTCAGTTCTGACCGACTACTGGGATGTTCTGGTATTTAGCCTCATGCAAAATAGCTGGATTGTTTGGAGTACCGATATGATTTTACATGAAAGATTTACAATCCTACTAATATGTATGATAAACAAGACAAAGTTAGAAATGTCAGTGTTTTAACTAACTAATTAACTTAACCGAATAACTTGTATTTCTTTAAACCATATTACACAGGATGCCCTCGCAAAATAACTCGTAGATGTACCACCATTAAAGGTCATGGGAAGTATTTTCTCATGTATCTCAGCAAAGTATTTTAAGGTCTGTGACTAAAAATAGCAACTTTAGTTTTGGATTCGGCCTGTACCACCCTAATACAGTACCTTGCTAACGTCTTTTCCTGCTTGCTTTGTCCTACCTAATAGAACTACATTGTGCATACTGTATGTGGCACAGTATCAGATGTTTGAGATATTGTGCATATCATTTTAAACTGCCTTGTTTATATTGATCCGGTTCTGCTCTATAGAAACCAAAGAGTTGATAAACAACAAGGTGATATATTGGAATAAAACCTTGAGTTTTCAGTCTAACGCTATTGTGTTTGTAGTGTTGGTAATAAAATCGAATTATGCAGTATAGTGTAAATGTAAACATTTGAATTGCTTTAAACACATTTGAATAGCAATACATTTTAAAAAGTAATGTGAATTTTAAAATTCATGTGTGTGTGTTTTGAAACAGTTAAATCTTAATTTTGTTAACACCGTAAACGTCTTAGTAAATGTTTTACTACGAATTTAAAAT